CACACACCCCCACACACACACACCCCCACACACACACACCCCCACACACGCACACACGCACACACGCACACACGCACACACGCACACACGCACACACGCACACACGCACACACGCACACACGCGCACACGCGCACACGCACACGCGCACGCACACGCACACGCACTCACGCACAGCACACGCACACGCACACGGCACACGGCACACGCACACACCCACACCCTCAGTTTCATAGATGTGGCGGCCAATAGTATGCATCGCTAGAGACTTGGCCCCTCGATGACTATTGCCCGGCATGTTGTTAGCATCGCGGTCTGAGTGATGGACTGAGTGAAGGTAGTAGCCCCCACTCATGCAGCCCGCCTGCTGAAGTAGTCTTTGACTGAGCCGACAGTGATCATGAATCTGCGTTTGTAGGAGTGCATACCGTCGCCGCGACACCTCAAAGAAGAAGGCAAGCAGGGGTGGAATTTGCGCGTGAAACGGGCATGCCGTGAGAAGACTGCACCCCATAACGAGGACATGGATCCAGGACTGCTCCGAGCTGCAGGATGGTGTTTGAACCAAGCCGAGCCTTTCAGCACAGTTTTGGTTTCCGGAAAGAATGTCAGTGGGCCCGGAGCTAGCACGGCCCAGGCTCGGTGTCCCAGAATTTTTGCATCAGCACCCTGGCAAGTTCTGCTCGCTCGTTTGTGCCCGTGGCTTCGTTGCCACTGTGTTGCTCCATGTACAACTCCTTAGCCTTACCATCTGAGGTTCAATGGCAAATCGTTTGTTATTGCAGACAGCGGCTGCATGGTGAAGAAGATGCTTGTGTCGTTCTGTTTGCTCTTGAGATTCCCGTCTTGCTTCTGCTGACGTGAAGGGTTCGTGTGCCGTAGCCGGGGTTGCCACTGAAAGCTTTCGGACTATCCAATTGCAGACGAAGTAACCCAGCATCGGAGCTTTTACGATTGGTGTTGTACCTCTTCTGGTAGTCCTGCACCTAGTTCATTGCTGAGACAATGCAACAGCGAGGCGTGTTTCTTCCCCCCAACTTAACATTCGTCCTTCGGAGTGGAAATACAGAGGACTAAGCAGAGATCATGATCATGCATTGACCCGAGCCCGAAAGCTACGATCCTACTAATGGGAAGAAAGGAACTGACAGAATCACTTCGCTCGTTCGCGAAAATACCCAAGTGCGAGAATCAGTAGTTGATACTTTGCGGAAGGCGTTGGCAGAGACATTTCCTCACAAGCTCTTATGTCCTGGACATACACGAAACATCCTGGTAGTCTCAAGTGCTTCACAGCATGTGCAGTATGCACGCGGTATCACAGGCTTTGCACGCAGCTTTGCTGTTAGAAACGTCCGTTGTCCTGAGCGGTTCTTCTCGGACATTGCTCAGGCTATGTCATCAAGGATCCTCAGGGCGAATGGTTGGAAGTCGGCCTTAGCCTCAGACCGTCACGGTTCTGTACATGCTGGCACAATCGAACTCACCTTCTCCATTACTATTGGGAGGAAGTCTTGGAGGCAAATTCTGGAGAAATATGGGACCGTCGGACGTTAGGAAGTAATTTTGCACAGTACCTGCAGCAGTTTGCAGAGCTGCAGGCTTGTTAAGCTGCCAAGAGATCTTTGGTGTCTTGTCCTCACACAGTACATGATGTGACGAGTGCTTTGCTGAGATTTAGGATTTGATGTTCGGAAGTTCCCTTTCCTCTTCGTGGATGTACTGTACAACTTCCGGGACTTTATTCCACTGGCCGCTTGGAGCAGCAGATGCCTGGGCGCTGTGGGGCACTGATCCCCACGGCTGCAACCGCTCGCAGCCAGGCGAAGTGTCACTATGGCTTCACCGTCCAGGCAAGCGGCAAGCCTGCAGACCCTAGGAAACTGGGCTACAAGGCATGCCACTTTGGAGAATCTGCCTATGGGTGTGGACCTGGTTGCAGGCCGTTGAAGACGAGGATTTGCCTGAAGGCATCATCTGTGCCTCAGCCGATGCAGCCACAATGTTCCAGAAGACGCGTGCAGCAAGGACATCAGGCATCAGGTGACGTCAGCATGTTGTCAAACCGACAGCCACCATTATAGAATGGCATTGTGTGTGTGTGTGCACCTCCTGTACCAAAGGAAGTCAAGTTTCACTGTAAGCAGGCGGACACACGGAGTGTGCACTGGCTCTGTCCAACCAACCTCCCTTCCAGGAAGCTGTCGGACTGCCGGTCAGCGGGGGGTAACTAAATATTTTTGAATACCCGCTGAATGACGATCCTGGTGTATAAGCCTCAAGTCCCTGCAGCTTGCAAACGGTCGGGGCCCGCAACATAATTGTCGTTATCTGCAGCCATTGGCGAAGGTTGATTCTTTCGCAGGGAAAGCTCCATGGAAGACCCCATACTTTGAAACTAAGGAGTAGCCTCGCAAACATCTTCACCCGAAACATGTTCCTGAAACACTTGCCGAAGTACCCCCCTGACTGCGGCCATTGGCAAAGATTGATGCTCTCGGAGGGAAAGCCCCAAGGAAGACCCCAGACTTGAAGCATCTGTTCATCCTTGTATCAATCCCGCTGTCTGTGTCCTTTGCCATGGCCAACTATCATTCACTTTGTTGGGCAACATGGAGAAGACGGCCAGGAACGCAGCCCTCGCACATCAGTGCTGCAAAGCACAGAACAGACCCACCAAAATCTCACCCAACATCCGAACAACTCAAAGTTCAAAGTCTACAAGGCCCAAGCTTTAGCCAAGTTTATGTCGAGGAGCTAAAGCGTTTTGCTTCCAACATGTCGTCATCCTGGAGTCATCCTCCAATCCGCCGAACCGGGAGATTGAGGCCCTTCCCACTCAGCCGGATGCTGAAAACGCACGCAGCAAACAGTCTTGGGCCCGAAACCGGTAAAGAGATTATGTTTGTATTGCTTGTCTAAATTCTACCGGCGCGACCGGTGTCGTCCTGTACTAACGGAAGTCAAGATTCACCGTAAGTAAGCGGGGGGCAGACCCATCGAAGTTTCACCCAACATCCGAAGAATTCAAGGTTCACGAGGCCCAAGCTTTAGCCTTTTTGTGTAGAGCTGTTAGATAGAGCATGATAGAGCCTTGTGCTCCCGCCATGTCGTCACCCTCCAATCCGTCGAGCCATCAGATTGTGGCCCTTCGTGCGCACAACAAACAGGCGTCAAAGGCCCGAATCCCGCAAAGTGATGTTGTTGGTAACATTCATCTACACTCTACAGGCGCGACCGGTGTCGTGTGCGTGCACCTCCTGTACCAAAGGAAGTCAAGTTTCACGCAACGGACCCAACACTCGAAGAATTCAAGGTTCACAAGGCCTCAGCTGCAATGTCGTATGGAGCAGTCAGAGCCTTTTGTTTCCAACACGTCGTCATCCTCTAGTCCGTCGAACCAGGAGATTGAGGCCCTTCATGCTCAGCCGGATGCAGAAAACGCACAACAAACAGTCTTCAGAAGCGCCCAGTCCTGCAACACAAGTCCTGCAGCAACACAGTCGTGTGCCGCACCTCCGGTACCAAAGGAAATCATGTTTCACTGGAAGCAGCAAGAGGCAAACGTACCGAAGTCTCACCCAGCATCCGAAGAACTCAAGGGTTCGCAAGGCCCAAGCTTTAGCGGTTTCGTGCTCAGCTAGAAGCTGCAACAGCGTGCAGCAAACAGTCGACAAAGGCCCGAATTCCGCAAATAAACGTTGCCTCTAAGATTTATTGAAACTCTGCCGGTGCGACCGGTGTCGCGTGTGTGTGCACCTCCTGCACCAAACAAAGGAACTCAAGTTTCACCGTAAGAAAGGGGACGGAGGGAGTACGGAGGCCAATGAAGCTCCCCTCCGCACTCCAAGACAACCTGCCTGCACGCATCCGCCCTGGGCCCCGGCGAAGGAAGCTGGGGGATGCACTCTTGTCAGCAGATGCAACAATCTTGCACAAACAGCATCCATTTAAGTGCGGATGATTGCTGTTCAAGTGTGTGTATGTTTATGTTGTAGCAGGGCAAAACAGAAGTTCTGCCAGTACTACGTTAGTGGAAACGTTGCAAAGGTGCCTTCCTTGAACTGTTTTCGCACTGCGCCGCACTTGATGCTCTTTGGCTTGCATGTTTCTGCAACGTCGGAGCCGAGGCGATGTGTACATCTCCGGGATCAGCATCACGGAAAACCCCAAGGTAATTGACCCTCCTGAGCCAGGCTTTATTTTGTCCTAGCCACTGCAGCGCATCAAATGAGGGATCACAGTTGCATTTGTGCAATCGTGCCGTGTGTGGCCACCTCAGCAAAGAAAAACAGACTGCAATGACTCACAGCATTGTGCCATGAGTTTCCACCCATTAATGTCCGTTGGGTTGCACGTGCAAGAACAGTTGCCTCTGCCAGGTGAGGTTGGGGTTTGCTTGCGGTGGCGTGTTTTCGGTTTGCTGTTTGGATGACTGGGCCTCGCAGAGATTGTGGCCAGCTCCGATGTACATTGAAGTTTAGCTGGATGATTTTGTCGCCCGGCCGCCGTAGTTGCACAGATCTGCGAGAAAGAGTGCTTTTGCTTTCGCACACGGTTGGCTGATGTTGATTCTCCCCCAGTCTATTTGCCATTCGACCGCGAATTGAGATACATGAGGCCGGTCGAACAGGGCGTCTACCGCACCCACGCGGACGAGCAGTGCTGGTAGCACATGGTGCCCTTCCTGGGCGAGCGGATAAGAGCTTGCCTTTTGCCATGCGATTTGCATGCAGCCTGTGCTGCAGGTCGTGAGCTGATGAAGGTGACGAAGGGTTTTCTGACGGAGACGGGTGTGCAGAAGTGGGAAACTTTGGCCACACCCTGAGACAGTGTGACGGTTGTCGAGGCGGTGCTCCTGTGTTCGGGGAGGTTCCATCGCTTGAGTTTCCGTTGGCGACAGCAGTTTTGGGTTCTGTGTCTTTCCAGGCCTTGGGAGTTTGGAGAGCCGTTGCAATCGGCCATACTTGAAGAAAGCAGCCTTTGTGCATCACTAGTAATCGTCGCGATGACGGAATCCGTGGTAGGACCTTAGATCATGTGGACATGTTCTGTGAACTGTAGGAAATAATTGTTTTCGGTTTCGTGCTCGGAAGTCTTAGTGCCGGCCATGCAGTGAAACAGGAACACACGGGAACACCAGGACCAAGAACTGATTCAAGAAGAAGAGTTGCAAGCCCCACACCAGGCGAACAGATGCAGTTCTTGGCAAAGCGATGGCACATGGACTGACATGAAGCCGGCATCACAAAGGAAGCCTTCTGCCGGCTGTCAAACTAGAAACAGCAAGAACCTGTGCACCCAGACAACTTGGGCTTGGTTTATGCTCAGATGCGAGTGTCACATGGAAAAGATGACAAGGCTGCAGCAATAATGAAACGGTAAGGTCATCAAAGGACACCGTGCGCATTGGAAAGAAAATGTTTGTATCTGATTATCTGTCGTTTCAAACTCAGGGCTGGGGCAGCCCTTCTTTGCAGCAGCCTCAGCGGATCAGCTCATCCACCTGAGGTCGAACCGCAGGTTGCCAGTCAAGCCTTTTCGGTCGACTTGGTAGGAGGGGCTTGCTCGGAGCATCTGCTGAAAGCACAAATGCATGGCTGATCCTGAGACACCTACGGCTTCATTTGGCGGCAGGTCAGATATGGCAAGCATGGCAGATCCAGATAGCAGGCGTACCCGCACGTTTCGCGAGAGATGAGTGGGGGTAGCCTTGAAGCCTGCCGGGAGCTTCATGTTCATGATCTCTGTCCCTTTTCGGTTGCCGATGGGAGTGATTGTGGTTGTGCTAGCAGCTGCCATCCGCCATTTGGTTGACAGCATGAAGGATTGGGCAGCAGCTGCTTTTCCGTCTCATGCCAGGAATGTCAAGACGTGGGTTGATGATCTTTACTCTGGCGAGGACACAGCAGTTGGTCAGTGGATGGTACAGCTTAGCATGTGTCCTCCCGCATGAGCTGCATCAGATATTGTCATTGTCCGTCAAGCTGTGATGTGTTCCTCTGCCCGCCAAAAGCTTTGTGTGTGTGTGTGTGTTATGACATTCAGTCAAGATGGAGGTGTGTTACAGTGTTACTGTTACGATGGCACGCGATGAAAATGTACGGGGATGGCGATGGAGAAAGCATGCACGCTCTCCCGTTCCACACTGAAGTCGAACGCAGCCGTTTCACAGAGAGGCTCAGCCCGGGCACTTGTCCGGAGACAGCACCCCCATGCTTGACTCCAAGATTAAGGGTGATCATGCGCTATCAGGGAGTCTTCTCAAAAGGAAGTAGCAGTATCTAGTCATCTAGTCACGTCGAGAGTCCAGTCGCATCAGTTTTGTAGCCTTGCAAGGCATGGGAAGCGGTTCGGCGATGTGTAGCTGTTTAATTGTCGTTTGTTGCAGGCATCACAGCAGTGCCGGCACACCACTTGAAAACCCCAGTCGTGGTTTGCAGGAGGGTAGGACAAGATTGAAGTCATGCTTGATTCTCTAAGTGCAGATCTTGGCTGTCCGAGGCGTATATAGAAATCCTGCGCTTGTTCCGTACTGACAAGAGGCTGTTGAGGCTACCCTTAGCAGCTGGAAGGTCACGGGTACCAGTAGGGGATACCGCCGTATGAATGCAAGCTTGGTGACGTATGCAGCTAAGCAAGCACGATTCTCGCTTACCGTCTGTCCCCATCTCTCCCCTCAATGTCTGGATGCAGCAAGGGTGCGAAAGTCTGGATGGTGAGGGAGTCTGCGGCGGGCGGCAAGTCTCCCTTTCCGTACATTGCTGGGTGGGTATAACCTCATCCCGTGTTTCGAGCTAAAGAGCGTGTCGGACGCGAAAACACTGGAACCCTGAACGCGGGTCAGCAAGGCAACTGTGGCGGTTTAGCAGGGGTCGAAACCAATTTAAGTGCGGCAAGCTTTCCGTTGCTCAATGGTCCTAAGAAGCCTGAGCGTCACTCACGACAGGAAAAAAAGAAACACCGAAGTGAGGCCGGCACTGGATTGACTTCCAAAGTTCAAGCGCTGGCGATGTAGAGACAAGAATGAGTAATTGAGTGGCATTGTCGCAAGCCCATAATGTGCCCATATGTACCCGCTGTAGTTTTCGCAACTCCACCTCGATCGGACTTATACATGGTCCCTTGTGCTCACCGTGCGGAAATTCAAGTTATCTCACGATTGCTCTGTCAGGTATGTGTTCCAGATTCTAGATGTTTGAAAGACAGCGTAGCAGACGGGATTGCTAGGCTAGTTGCCACATGTTGCCGCCAACTTTGAAACCCGAAGCCAGGGGCCACCTCCGCATTTCCTCAGCGTATAGCCCTAGGCCCTAGGATGGTGACCCGGATGGTGGTTTTGGCGTGTGCTATTGTTTGGTGGCATTTGGTGGCCTTCGGAGGCCGCAGCGCGCCTGGATGCGGCGCTGGGTGGACCTGTGCGGCACCTCCGAAAGCGGGAAGACGCAGCGCGGAGAAAGTCCCAGCTTGTGAGGTGTTCGGGTTTAGGGTAGCAATATGTAGCAAAAATTGGCACCAGCTCGCTCTGCGACTGCTTCCGGCTGGTTTAAACTAGAATCGGACTGCAACACTGGGTTGGACATGGTTGGACCACTCCCGCTGCGCTTAAAGCATGCTTCCAGCCTGTGTTCACGAAGCAACCAGCCGTTGAGCCCAGGGTTTCGGGTTCAAACACAACGCTGCCATAGACTGCCCGCGGGCTGCATCGAAGAGTCTTGCCATATCCATGCATGCAAACTTACACGCGCGTGCTACTGCTGATGTTTGCTTTCAGAGGTGACGGTGGAGTAGCATGGCCTTACCTGCACCGCGGCACAAGCAGTGCAATGTCGCTGGAAACACAACTGGAGAAGGTTGGCGATGCAGTGTCAGCAGGAATGCATGAGGTGTATTCGGGACTCAATCGGCCAGACTACGATGTTCCGCCGCAGCTCGGTGGCGACTCGCCAGAGCAGATCAACTGGCTTGCCATCCTTATACTCGTGGCGGTTTTCCTGGCACTTGTGCTTGGATGGGTCCTCGACAGCAGGTGCCGCGGAGCACTTATGGAGGGCCGGCCACACTTTTGGGCAATACTACTGCTTTGCACAAGCTACTTGCTGTTAATTCCTGGATTGATCAACCCGGTTTTCAGCTTTAGCATCGTGATCAACATCATCGGACACCGCAAGAATGTTGAACCGGAAGCTGGCCACCCAGTCTGCACTGAGACAACAACTGGTTTGGCACACCTTCTTTGGAAAACAGGCTCTCGGATTGGTGCGTTCCTGGTTATCCTGTTTTCGATGGTCATCCCTGCCTTCGAGCTGGTTATGCTCGTTCTCGGTGAAGTCTTTCGCTTCACTTCGGCGAGATGTGCCGAGATATTCCGGTGGGTCATTCTGTGGGTACAGCATAGGTCTAAGTGGGCTTCTCCAGATATGTTCGCCTACGTGCTGCTGGTCGACTTGGTGCGAACCCTGGATCAGGAGCCACTCATTCTGTCGAGGGCAAGGCGGAACAGTCAAGAAGCCAAGCCCAGCTGCCATAAGCTGTAGAACCCATGCAAGCAGGCTGGAGATCGGCTTCTCCTGCTTCAGCACCTTCGTGGTGACCGCAACTGTCTCATCTTTGGGCGTGCCGCTACCACAGGCCAGGCTGGATTCGTGATCCGTTCTCAGAATGCCAAGCCAGTTGCCTCAAAGTATCCCAAAGCAGTTCTTGTTCCGATATACCGGATAGTACCAGTAGCTGAACCACATCCTAGCGCCCTAGGGCTCCCCAGCAGTATCACTTCGGGAGGCAAGATCTCGGAAATCGGTTCCGATTGCGCCTGTGGCGCTGCGACACCTTGGAGAACGTGGATTGGCCATCGCGGTGGGTTTGTCACTCGCAGGGTTTATCCATGCATCTTCGTTGCTTCGGTTCCTCACATGTGTCTAGCAATCAGCATCCGATGTCATCTGGTAGCACGTGTTGGCCGGAATTCTCACAAGCTTGCAACGGTGCAGCCTGCATGCGGCATAGCGTGATTCATGGCAATTCGACTCCGAGGCTCGCGTTGGTGTTCGTCCCACTCTTTTTACACGGATTGCATGCTCCGTGCATGTCTTTCCACATCGAGACGAAGCAGCTCTTTCCTCCATATGGGCCTTTGCCAGAATCAGCGCGAACTGTAGTTGATATCTTGGACTTGAGGCACTTGCTCAGGTCAGAGACAAGCATTGTCTCATGTGTCACAGACTACATCGGCAGGCTGTACGAGTGGGAAGCCAATACATTTCTCTCGCTCGCTTTGATCTTGGTGTGTGTTGTGGGTAGCACGTTGCTGGATATGCTTGCGCTGGTGTTGGCTGCCTTGCACCTTTCCAGTAGTAAAAGCTATGCAACTCTCAATCAACCACATGCAGAGATGGATCATCCCATGGGACAGCCAGTCCTGGTGCCCACGAGCTGCAGGTGGATCACCATTGCGCGGATCGCACGAAAATTATCAATGCTGGACGTAGCGATGGTCGGCGTATACTTGGTTACAGTGTGTATGTCCATGTACGCTAAATACGGAGTTGTTGTGTCTTTGGAGCATGGAATGCTCATTCTGCTGGGTGCAGAACTATTTCATGCTCTCACCTATCACCTGGTAGACTCCGCTTTTTCATACTATGAGGAGTTGCGGGCGTTTGACGAGGAAGCTCTTCGGTCGCAGAAACAGAATGAGGGCACAGAAGTTGCTCCACATGTTGATCCTTTCTGCTGTGGCACTTGGCCGAAGCTCTTTAGATATGTTCCCATGAAGGCAATGTTCTAAGGCATTCTGTGGTCTCGTACGTGGTCAAGGAACCCTGACCCAGATTACCTGGCGACAGACGTGCTAAAATGGCATGTCAGCTCCTGACGAAAGCCAGTCCGGATCGAGTGCTGCTTGTGGCCGAAACGACCGTGCCCCGACAGAGACATCGCAGGTGGATGTTGCTGCACTGAGTCTTTCCTCAAAGCTTGTCTTGTCTCGCCCATGAAATTGCATTGGCTCGTTGGATTCCGCCTCATACAGTCAGCACCGAGGGATAGTAGTCCTGTTGAAACTTGCTAGCCTTCCTTTGCATCTCTGTTCTCTTCATACCACTTTGTCTAACTTCTCTAATCAGGCTTTCCACCTTGCGAAACTGCTCCTAAAGTAGTGGAAGCTGAATTGAGCTGTGATGGCATTTGCTGTGAGAGGAGGCTCCCTTTGCAGCGAGGCACCTCTGAATATCTCGTTTGTGAGATCTGAGTGGCACTCTGAGGCCAATGTTGTCCAATTTGTAGTTCGGCACCTCAGCCTCCACGTTCGGCATCCTGCCCTCGTCACTGCTTGATCCGAGGCCAAACTTTCCTGGGAACCTCCCTGAAGTACCATATCAAGGCGCGCAAGAATTTTGAACTTCTCTCACACAAGTAGTACCCCTGCGTTGCTGTGCCTTTGGTGCCATGCCAGGCATGTGCAAGCTGCGACCTTAATATAACACCTCCAGCAACGGCCGTGCCAAGCATGGTTTCTCAAGGACAAGCACGAGCACAGCTGGTCACCTGCTCTTCGTGCAAGCGCCCGGCCTTGTGCTTAGACTCTGCTCCACTGCGCTAGCAGTCTGGGCTAACAATCACAGAAAATCCTAGTGTCCGAGACGAAAGCTAGCAGAGCATTTGTGTGCACAGTTGAGAGGGCAGAAAATGAAACTTGCTGCAAAGGCTTCCGATGCAAGTGTGATGAGTTTGTTTGAACCATCCGAAACAGCGAGTGCCTGCAAAATTGCGTTGCTAATCTTCCACGAGAATTCTGCGACCTGCAGAGAGATGAAACGAAGCAACTGCCCAACGCAGTTGGATGGTCAGCTTCCTGCGGTGCCACTTGTTGAAAGGGTTGGCTGCCGTCTTGGAGTGTCAAAAGGTGCGAAAAGATGATCTTCCAGAGCATCTTGTGCGCTGCAAGCGCATGCGGATGGCGGAGGCTCGGTGATGGCCCCCTTCGCGGCGGAGCCTCTGTGATCCTCTGAGACTTGAAATACAAGTAGAGACGACTACACAATCGTGCGATCGACGACATGCTCCTCAGAATTGAGCCCCCTAAGCATAAGCTGGGCTGGTACAAGTGGAGCTGCTGACAGCTGTTTTTGTCGTGTCCTCCTTGGTGCTCAGGGAGTGCCGAGCACTGACGACACTGAGAAGGTGTGGCAGGACCGGTGCGGGTAGTGCTGTAAACGTTGAAACTTCAACTCGTCGTAAGCCAGGACAAGTCCATGTCTTTGCAGACAGCTCTCGCAAAGATCGAGGTTCAAGTGCCTGTGTCTCTGTGCACATCTGTCTCATGCGCCCGGGAGCGACCCGCAGACTCTGGCAGGCTGGCGAAATCGGAAGTCCTGGTCTTAGTCTTCCACTTCCCGAGCATGAAAGCGGCGAGTCGGAGTCGTCCTGCGTCTGAGAGAGGCTTAGACAGTCGCGGTTGCTTCGTCTGTTCCATTTGCGGACAGCAAGGCCAGGCCCGTCGTCCTGCAAAGTCTGTGAGTCTGTGACATATTGCAACGTGTAAGCAACAAGTCGTGTAGACCCGAAGTGCTGCCGACTAGTGAGAGGTTCTGAGGATCTTGAGGTGTCCGTGGTCAAAGCTGTAAGTCTTGTTGTCCGAACGGCGCTTTCATTGAACCTCTGGCTTCAAAGGCGAAGGACTTGACAACGAGCCTCGTCAAAGAGCTCATTCCTCAAGGATTTCCCATGATTTCCCTGTTGAGGCTTGGGCTTACTCCAGATCGTGGAGCATGAGGCGAGGATTCAGCCTTGCAAGCATGTACCTGATGGCAATCATAACGACGTTTCAGCCCAGAGACTTTCAAGCTTTCTCGCTACACACTTTTCTATGCTACGCAGTCGACATCCGAAATAGGTAACTTGCATTTGAGGCTAGGGGGTGAACTCGATCGCTGCATTTCGCATACGGTGGTTTTCCGCATGTCTAAACAAGCAGCATTGGCATGGCGTAGCAGGTGGGCATGGGTGAAAGAAACAGTTTGGCCAGAATCCGAAGCCCTGCCAGTACTTGCTGCAGGGAAGCAACTCGGTCGTGCGACAGCGTGCCGGGGGTGCATCGCCGCGACCATTCGTGTTCGTAATTAGCATCCGTCTCGGTGGACCCGGCGCGTCTGCGTCCTCTGGCAAACGCGATGCATTCTCCCACCACGATGTTTTGTGAATATAATATAACGATTTTGGTCGGCAGTGGGGAGGGAGGGGGATTCATAGCCTGTGTTTCCCACTCGTCCAGGAAGTTTGCCGAGAACGTCTGAGCCAGGAAGGCCACGTATCACCGAGTGTACACTCCCGGACCTTGCCAGCCTGCTGCTCGGCATTGCGCAGCATCCGGAGTCCCAGGCCTGCACCATCCTGCATCTGTTTCACTGGTCCAGGCTGAGGGTGAGGGCGTGCAGCAGCTCACTACATGCGTGGCCGTGCGCGACTTGTCAAAATGATGAGAGTAGAGCAACAGAGCGTTCGGTTCAAAGGTCGCCAAAGAGCTGAACCTGCTGAAGACAGAGATCGCGCAGGCGGACCTTGTGATCGTCAATGCCAGCTCATCAAGTAGGGTTCCAACCAGTGCTTCGCAAGCGACACTTCATCTTCCTCGGCAATTGGACAGCGTGCGGTCCAAGATTTGAGTGGTTTGTCTCGAGGCCCATCGAAAGAAGGCCAACCCTTGGTTCCCCGTGCCTGCATGCGCTTCGAGATTTTCTGAAGTGGTGACTCGATGCCATCAAGGGTCAGTCCAGGCTTGAAGTTCATCACAGTTTGGCTGTCGCATGTCGTCGCATTGTCGTGAAATGAGAATCCAAGCGTATCCATGTCAGAGAAGGAAAATCGGAAGAGGTGTGGCATCTTCGCATAGCGCAGCCCCTGTGTCCCCCTTTGACCATGTGCTATGAACTCGTGCGGAGAACCTGCGGCTTAGTCAACGATCCAATGAGGATCCGAAGAAGGATTTCCGTGCAATACAAAGCAACTTAAGAGCCTCCGGCTCAAGCCGCCGAGCCCGCAGACGTGGGAAGGAAAACGTCTTCCACTGCAGAAGCACTGCTGCACCCTAGAGTGCAATACTGGGATCTTGTTACAGATATCGCAGTTCCTGGTACCAGAAAGCGACAGTTTAGGGATGGAAGCGCACATTTTGCAGGGGGAGGCCAAGGCGCCTCCTCGCCAACTTGAGGCGTTGAGAATCAATGTTGGCATACGGCAATCATGAACAGTTTCATAATCCAAAATATTATTGCTGGCTGCCGGCACAGTTAGATTTATACTTCTGCCTCATCTCTACCCCACACATGGTTTTGCCATGTCTTGCCCCTGACACCTTCCACCCTACATGCTCGCATATGCTCGCTTCCTTGCGTTTTGCCCGCGCGTCTTCGACTCCGAATCTGGTTGTGCACTCGGCCCACTGCTCTAGATTTGCGCTTCCTTGCCGTGCCGTTTCCGTTTGACACGACAGACGCAGTGCGGCATCGCGGCACACCACCTCCTTCCCCCCCCCCCCCATGGCAGTTTTGCACGCGGCTGCCAGCAGTTCGGTTCCGTCTTATTTCCAAACGTCTGTTTGCTCCACACCCTGGTTTCTGCTTCCGTACCGGTTCGGACACCACATGGATGCCGACACCCCCTCATTTTGGAGAGAGGAACCAACAAAAATCCTGCTGTCGGGACTGGTATCTGTGCGAACGTGCGCATGGTTTGTCTTCATACCATCATATACCATCCATCACGCATCCCGGGAACAAATGGCCGATCGATTGCAGTCCATTGTGTGAGTTCATGGGCGATGTGTTGTTCCGTAATGACTTGATATGTAGTGCTGTCCTGTGCTGGGGTATGACAATGCACGACATGTACGCGTGCAAAGAACCTTTGGCGTTATTGATGAAATCGTTACAGTATGTAGTATGCATGACCGCGAAAACTAAAAGCAAGCAGCAGCATACATGGTCTAAGTCTATAAGTCAACAATGCTATGAACATGGCTGTTCTGCGACGAGGGAGGATCCGTCCAAAAAGAAGTGCCTGCCTCGAAGAAACGCACCTCAACAAAACTCACCTTGCGTGAACTGGCACAAGACTTCAGAAGAAACTGTCGCCAACCCATCGTGGCTCCTGACCAGAAGGTCAAGGCAGTTAGCTCTGTGAAGCTATTTTCAAGATTCTTGAAGGGAGACATTTTCTGACCATTCGCAGTCCGGCCCCCAATCCTTCCTGGCAATTGGACGACAAATAATTGGAAGGGGAGAGAGCCACGCCTTCTGTACCTGTTAGATCAGCCCAGCCCGTTCCAGCTGCAGACGTGGAATCAGCTGCTCCTAACCACTGTGAAGGGTTTTCTGCAGCCAGACTGACCGCTGTTTCAAACTTGCAGCTGAAAGACCCATCGGCTAACGGCCAGCGGACAGCGAGTGTTCTGTGGCACTTAAAAGTGAAAAGTCTTTTCGCTTGTTGCAGGAAGCTGCGGGTGATGAGGAGTCGCGCTCCACCCTCAGAGTGCTCACGCTGACGGCTCCGACTGGCAGCCGAGCATGTGCACAAAGCCACAGCTGAGGTGCACTGCTCACACTGACTTTGGACAGGCTCCGGGATGTGGCACGAAATGCGTGCTTCCTGGAGGACCCATCTACATCAGCTTCTGCTTTAGGCAAGGGCAAGTGATTCTCTTTGCAAGGAGAAGAAATATCGTCGGCTGCGGCTCTCAAACCCAGCGGTGTCGGAGGTGCGCTTGGAGCCAGCCACTGCCACTGTCCACGTGCTTTGCCCCCGTGCCACCATGTCACAAGGCAATTGGAAAGTGGGATGCAGCGAAGAGGATCCTTCAGGATCTTTGGCTGCACTCTATGACTCTATGAAACCTCAATGACCGTTTGTGCGAGGCAGTGGGCTTCGAGCTCGTGATGCATGCGTCAAAATCAGGCCGCAGATGCAGGAGTTCTGGTTGTAGCTTACCAATCGAGCAGTGCTTGTAAAGCCAGGGTAGTGGCAAGTTGACTTCGTGAACTTTGTGTTTCGAGGGATCCTTGTGCACCATGCGCAGCTACAACGCTTAACCGAAATCCCGGCCGTCGAATTACCCCGCCCCTCCGGTTCAATGGAGATGACCAAGCGAGCAGCCGGATGACCAGAGCTCAAGAAGGCCGTAATTTTCTGTAGATAGAGGTTCCTCACGGTTGTTGAGCCTCAGGCCCAGGTGCAGGGATGCCAGCCGCAGAGCGAAAAGCTTGCTGCGACGGAACAGTTGAAGAGCTCGAAGTCATATATGGTTGTGCGCTGTGCGTTCTCCGCCCACCCCCCTCCCCCCCAATGGTATCACCACAAAATACACGGGTCTGGTGTCGGGAGAGCTATGCATTTTGGTGTCCACTGGAAATGCATGGCGAGTGTTATGCGGCAACAGACACAGCACCCGCCAGCAGGGTCAAGGGTTTAGCCGCCTGTCAGCAGCAGGATAGGCGTATGTTGAGATTTGGATTATCAGGAAACAAAGCGCGCTTGAATAGGAGTAGCTGGAGCTCGCTGTCGGGCAGTAGCTATGCGTTTAGGTATCCACTATGCATGGCGAGTGTTATGTGGCAGCAGACACAGGTGTAACAGGAGAGGCATCTGTTTAGATTTGGAGTTGGATATGCAATTCAGTTGCAGGCGTCTGTAGAATGCCTAGAGCTACTTGTGCTGCCTTGCCCGGACGGAGGAGCTACGCTTTGCATGTTAACAGACAGGGTCATGCACATGCAATTGAACATCATGCATTCTCAGGGGCTAAGGAAATGCACGTGGCATTGTTTGAGTTCTCCGTATCTTCGAGTTGCTTTGATCGACGCACACATCCGATGAAGCAAATGACTGTGTCTGATTATGGCCAGCTTTCGCGCCTGATAAAGCCATTCCTATGGCTGACAAAGTTGTGTTGAGGGCGATAGAGGCAGTCTCATGCATGTCTGATACAGTGCACGTGAAAACATCACCTATATATATATATTCATTTATTTATTTGTTTTGTTTATTTCTTTGTACACACACCCACACTCACTCACACGCACGCACGCGCACACGCACCAACGCACATGCAGACGCCCGCACGCCCGCCCGCCCGCCCGGACGGACGGACGGATGCACGGACGCACAGACGCACGGACGCACGGACGCACATACGCACGGACGCACATACGCACGGGCGGACGAACGGACGAACGCACGCCCCGCCCGCCCCACCCGCCCCGCCCGCCCTCCCGTCCGCCGCCCTCCCGCCGCCCCGGCCGCTTGCCCGCTGCCCCGCCATGCCACGCACGCACGCACGCACGCACGCACGCACGCACGCACGCACGCACGCACGCACGCACGCACGCACGCACGCAGGCAGGCAGGCAGGCAGGCAGACAGACAGACAGACAGACAGACAGACAGACAGACAGA